TTTTAGCTAACTTCACCTGCATCCAACAGCTTTACTCACCTCAGTCGGTTAGTTTGGGGGAAAACTGTGAAAAGTTCTTTGCATTTTGCTGGTTTGCTGCCATGATTCTAACACACCTGCGTAGCTCTGCACAGCACCAGCAGGTCCCCTTCGCTGCCCCACAGGTGTAAACCCAGCGAGTGTCGTAGCGCTCATGTTGCGTTTAAAGGTGGCTCGGAAAAATATGTTACCACATGTTAACAACGGATTAAACAGTTTTAACTGCTGATAAAAGTGACAGAGGACACAGATATGGGAAGTGCAGAAGCCCCTACTGTATCAAATTGACAGAGGAATAATAAGGTAAAAACCCAACGCATACAGCGTTCTTGTTTTTTTTTCATCCTGACAGCTTACCGCGCCCCCCATTGGGTGATGTAGGTGCTATGTCATCTGAAACCCAGCAATAAGCAAGAAGTAACCAAGCACAAGGCGCTCACCGTGACTGTTCTCACCCTCTCTCCCGCTACATCAGGGGTGCCCAAAATGGGTTTTTGAGGGACGGCATCCTGCATGTTTTAGTTCTCTCACTGGTTTAAAGCACCTGGATCAAATGATGGCTCGTTAGAAGGCCTAAGAGGAACATTGACAAGCTGAAAAGGTTGTTACTACCACCAGAGAGAGAACTAAAATGTGCAGGATGCCGGCCCTCAAGAACCGACTTTGGGCACCCCTGCGCTACATGAAGCCAGGCAGTCTGACATCATGGCAGCTGCCACTTTGAACGAAAACAATCAAAGAGCAATCTGCATGCTCTGCTTGTGCTTTCGTTCTTGTGTTTTATTTATTTGCGAATTTAAAAAATATCAATGTATATAATTAAATGTATTCCATAAAAATAATAGCAGGATTTTATTTTGATCCAAAGATCTGATAAATTTACTGAGACAGATAAAAGACAAGATAAGCACATCCAGAGTTTCTGGAGTGAAGGGAGTATTACCTTCATAACCCATTACTGCAGCTGCTTGACTGAGGAAGCTGCTTCTTGGTCTGATTGTAAATATGTGCAGCGCCACCTGGTGGTGCTGGTTGGTAGAGGAAGTGCTGAAAGGTTGGAGGTGTTTGTCAGAGGTGTGTGATGATGGAAGCCTCTCCCTGGTTTGTGAGTCTGAGCTCAGAGATCAAATGTTTGGTTCTTGTTGAACTCTTTGTTGAATGTGATGCAGCTTCTCCTTTTTAATGTTTGTATTTCTGGATATTCCAGTGAGGCCACAGCAGGTTTTCAGCAGCAGGTTTTTTAGTTTTTCATTCCTTCATCTGGGTGTGGGAGTGTGGATGGAGCAGGTATCCAGGTGTTGATCAGAGTTTAGATTGATTGGATTTTAATGCTGATTATTAAATCAGGTTGAGCTTCCAGAAATGTTTCCTTAGTTTCCCAATGTCCAGGGTTTCCTTTCTCCTCTCTGTTGGAGCTTTTCCTGTGTTTGGAGAAATGAGTTGTGCTGCAGCAGCACCAACTGTCCTTCCTAAATCCACTGCAGTTTGCTATCCAGATGTTGGACTGTTCCTGTCTCAGTGGAGGACAATGTGTGTCTGAGAGACATGTAATGTCCATGTTTGCTGCTGAAAGAGACTGATGGTCTGACCCCCCTCCTCCTTTCAGGGTGGAGCCTGCTGGAGGCCCATTCTTGACTCCAGGTCCATGGAGACTGAGGAAGTGTAAGTGTGTTTTTCATCTGATTCATGACAACAAAGCAGCTCACATTCAACCATCTTCAAACTGTCACATCACTCATTCAGGATCATCAAAGATCAATAAATGATCAATAACTGCAGCTGGATTGTGTTTGTTCTCTCCATCAGATTCCTGTCAACTCACCATCGACACAAACACAGTGAGCAGAGAGCTCAAACTGTCTGAAGACAACAGGAAGGTGACATTTGTGGAGGAGCTTCAGTCATATCCTGATCATCCAGACAGATTTGATCGTCCTCAGCTGCTGTGTAAAACTGGTCTGACTGGTCGCTGTTACTGGGAGGTCGAGTGGAGAGGAAGAGTTGATATATCAGTGAGTTACAGAAGAATCAGGAAGAAAAGAAACAGTAAAGACTCTAGGTTTGGATGGAATGATCATTCCTGGAGGCTGAGCTGCACTGATGATGATGGTTACTCCGTCTGTCACAATAACACATCAACTCGTCTCTTCTCCTCCTCTGACTCTCACAGAGTATCTGTGTATGTGGACTGTCCTGCTGGCATTCTGTCCTTCTACCAAGTCTCCTCTGACTCACTGATCCATCTCCACACCTACATCACCACATTCACTGAACCTCCGCTTCCGGGATTTGGGTTCTGGTTCAGTCCTGGTTCCTCAGTGTTTCTGTGCTGAGGAACTCTTTAAAGAGTTTAAAGAGTTTCCTCCTGAGAAACTCTCACTGCTTATGATAGTTCAGTATCTTCATGTTTGTTTCATTCAGAAACATGTTTTCATGGATCCAGGATGTTCATGATTATTCCAGGATTATTCCAGGACCCACATTTTTTCCAGTCAAAAATTCACAATGAATCTCAGTATGATGTGTTTTCGCTTGATGTTCTTCCTTTCATTCATCACTCAGATTTCTTTAACTTTACTGCAGTTTTTCCTCAATCAGTGGACATTTTATGTTCCAGTTATCTCTTAAATACATCTTGGATTAAAATGTTAAATGGTCCTCTTGTATATTTATTGCAGTTACACTTCATGTTTTTAGTGAATAAACATTTTTTTTACATTTTATTTATTTGCTGTTCATCCTGTTCTGTCCCTGTTTAAATTTCAAAGAGATTTTTTTTCAATCTCAACTCTAATTTTCATAAATTCCTAAATTACATTAAAACACTCCCATCTTAAAACCGTTTGACTGTAAAATGATGGTGCCTTAAAGAATAACATTGAGAAAATCTTAATATTGTCTGTTACAATCAGAACTTGGTCTGTCGGTCTGTCGCAAGCAATAGACATATTTACTGATTTTTTTTTTCTCGTAATAGCCACCCAGATCGTACACGATGGTAATTCAATGTTGAATTATAGTCAGAATGGTTCATTTTCGGTTGAGGTCAGCAAATAAT